AATCTAAAGGGTTGAGTTCCTCAGAAGTGACAAAGAGCTGCAAGAGCTCATGTGGTGCCTAATATCAGCAACGCTGAGTGGGAACTTTTTAATGTAAAGTTGTGGTGTTGATAAGGAAGGTGGTAAAACATCCAGGTATTGATCAAGAAGCTTAAAGTGACTGACAAATGAAAAAAAAAAAAAAAAAACTGTGTTTTCTGGTAGGTTAGCCTGATCAAGGGAGATCTATGTAAGTATCTTTTTCAGGAGCATTAGTGTTTATCAACTTGAAATGTAGTTATTAAGATATCAAAAAGCTTTTCTGCGGGGAAGGGGAGGAGGGCTGTCTTTTTCTTTTTATTATTTTTTTATTTTCTAAGTAGCAAGGTTATTAAGTACCAAGTGTTTCACTGAATTTTTAATAGATCTTGAATATAACCTTTCTAGAGAGTGACTGCAGGGGTTTTAGGAACAAATATATTAAGGCACCTTGTACATACTAGTTGTAATAATCTTTTGTTGGTTAGATGTAGAGAGATTTCTTGATATTACAGTAGGAATTCATTAATTAATGATTGAAGAGCCATGGAAATACTAAATGTAGCAAATAAGCCAGACGGCTGGAAAATCAAACCTACTTCAGCACCAGGTATGCTTTGTTAGTTATATGGGTGTATTTTTTATTTATTTTTAATATTGCCTGTATTAGAGTGTGCCTATGCTTGTAAAAATGATGAAGTCTAGTCTTATGGGAATTTACTGTACTACTTGGCAGTAAATCTATGCAGAGAAAACCCTGCAGTCATATCCTCTTTAATGAAAATTTGCTTATGGAGATTAGCAAACCGATGCTGCTTTCACTGTGTTTTTAGAATAAGGTGATATGGGGATTTGAACGAAATGAAAGTTGCAGTTGTACAAAAGAAATCAAGTTTGGTTCTGCTGCCCTCTGCAGCAGCATCCTTGTGGGTCCCCAAGCAGAGATCCGCTGGAGACGATGTGGATGGGATCTCCGCTGCTGGATGCCGTCTGGCCGCTGGACCGCTCTTTTTAGGCTTTGCTGCCAGGAGGGAGCCTTGCAGGCAAGTGGGAAGCCAGCTTTGATGCAGCAAAGGATCTTTTTCCCCACATAAGAGGCCACACATTTGCACCCAGAATCCTTCCCCCAGGGGAGACCCACAAGTGCTGGGTTTCGTTGTTGCTGGTCAAAACACTGTCACCTTTCTGTGTTCGAAAGGATAAAGATGATGCTGTGGTGACATCAGGGGGCCTCATCTGTTGCTTTTAGCTGACTCAATATAATCTGCTCTGTCTTAAATTTGTACCGATTTTAAAGTGTCTAGATATTTATAGCCTTTTTGTAGACTTTATTACCTCTAAATGTCTGTATATTAAGTGTCAGGGCTTGTTCTTTCTCAAAATATAGTGTTTGTGCAAAGGAACCTTATATTATTAGTAAGTCATATAACCGGGTTATTTTAACTCTAAAATACTGGAGACAGATAATTTACCTAGGTCATAAGGAAGTTTAGAGAGAGTAAATTTAATGCAAGTTACATTCCCCTCCATCATGCTTCTGTCTATCAACTCCCAATAAAAAGAATGGTAAAGTATAATGAATTTTATGTTTTTTCCTCATTTTGACTAAGACAGTCATACAGTTCTGATATGCTATAAAAGATAATTTTCAAGGGAGGGACTGAGAGTCTTCTAAGCCTTAGCCCTACTGAGTATCATGATGCAAAGGAACATCATTGAGCTAGATGTGGGAGAGCATGAGTAGAAATATCTTTCTGTGCTCCATATGTACATCCTGGAAACATAGTATGCATGGGAGTCACCACAGAGCTCTCTGCTGAGTGATCCTGCAGTTGGGAAGGCAGCCAGGTACAAGTCTCCATGTACACAGAGGACCAGGCAGGGACTGGACCAGCACCACCCACCTATTTGCTACCCAGCAGGATCAGGAGACATCTTTTATTTGGTCCAAGAGGACCAAATCTGTGATAACAGTTCACATATTTGCCCTGCACTACCTAAAAGACAGGGTGGCTTTCAGTGCTTACGCTTGGGTCTGCCGTCCCGGGTGTTTTGGTCTATTTTGAGCACAGCGTTGGGCCTGCCCGAGTGGCCGTTGCCCTTGGCGCTCCTGTGGTAATCTGATAGCTCTTGTTGGGAGCTTGATCTCACATGGCAGTGAGCATAGGCTCTTAAGAAAGAATTACCACATTATAGAGATTTTTTTTTCCCTGAGTGCAGTACATACATTTTTGATGCCAAAAGTGTTTCTCTGTCCAGGCTAGTTCAGTGTCGTGTACATGTTGCACAGTGTTTCTCCTCCCATATGGCTGTTGGTGGCCATGACCAGCAGCATCGCCGCGAAGGGGACATCCATGCTTTAATGTGGTTGTGAAGAGTGTTCATGTAACAGCTGCATTCTAATTAGCGTAACCATGCTGATTTTTCTCCTTTTAACATGGGCTGCTTGTGTCTTACTGAGAGCAATAAGATAAACTAATTGTGGATCCATTTAGATAGAAGATGTTGGGCCTCAGCTTGATGTGGTGGTAGTTAAAACAGGATAGCCCACATTTTAAACAGTTTATTTTTATTATGAAAATTTTCCGCCCTGGATTTTTCCCCACCCTGTAGCAAAGGTGTTTCAGGCATAGTCTGCTGTGAGTGCACAAATTTGTTGAGGTCTGTGCGGTCGTTATTTGTAAGATTTGGCTTAGCTTCTAGTGATCCAAACTATCCCTCTAACACGAGCCCAGAATCAGTTCAGTTTATTTTGATACATGGAAGTACAATGCACCTGATGCATGGATTTGCTGTGTCCACAGTGTTTGGTTTATCCCATGCTTTTCCAGTGGCGTTGCAGTGCCAACGCTACTCTGTGTGCATCCCACTTCTGCCATGAGCATCCTTGTGCCACAGGAGTCCACTAGCATTTTGGGATTTGAAGGCAGCCTTGCAGTTTGCATGTGACGCAACTGCAGCATGCGCGAAGCAGGGACACTTCCGCAGCATGCAGAAGTGAAAGCTCACCTCGCCGGCGCGCGGCTGCCAGCAGGAAGCTGACTCAGTTAACTCAGGACGCTCTCCCTCTCGCACAAAGCACTTTTTCCTCTGGTTTTGGTTCAGAGAAGGCGGCTGGCCGGCGCTCGAAGGCAGAAGCGGAAGGGGAGCTTCTGCCACCGGCGCCGGGTGACATCCACGCTCGGTCGCAACCACGCTCAGTCGCAACCACGCTCTGCGCCTGTTGTGGTTCGCGTGACGCCACTCCTGGCGCAGACACGCGCCGTTCACATTCCGTTACCACCCCAATGCACGGAGACACTAGTGGGCGATGGTTTCTGTGAAGCAGCAGTGTCCAGCAGCAGCTGCAGCCTCGTGGTCGCAGCGTATCAAAGTGACCCTTTTTCAGGTTGTCCCAAACACACCCTAAGCCCCAATAACACCTGAAGGATGAGACTAGAAACAAGAGGGAAGCCTGGGCACAAGGTGCTGCTGTTGCTGCAGGGCTCTCGGCCAACCTCACGAAGACCCAAGCTTCCACCCGCTCCCCAAGCCAGCTGAGGTGGAGCGGAGGCTCTCCTGGGCAAAAGCTGTGGAGCAAGGTGCTCGGAGACTCCTTTTAAGGAAAAAATATATATATATGTGTGTGTGCGTGTGTGTGTGTGTGGAGGGAGGGAGGGATATGTGCGCCTCAAGGCACTTAGGGAAAAGGAGTCTTATTTCAGCCGCATGTTTGGAAAGTGTGTAGTATATGCGTGCTTTCTTCAGAAGGAGATAGAAAGGAGATTTAATTAGCAAAGAGGTGTATTTAAGTGAGTTTCTAGATGGTATTTTGAGTTGGTAACCATGTCTCTTAGCTTTTTCCATGTGCTTCCTTAAAATATTTATAATGTTTACCTCAGCCAGAAACACATTGTACACAAGGCAGACCCTAAGAGACAAACTGGTGAAACGGATTTTTTGGTGGAGTTTTACAGAGAGCAGCATTTACTTGCTAATCCTTAGGATCAAGTGGGCTACATCCTCCTTCAAGAGGTTCGATGCTATGGAAATGAGAAAAAGCATTAGAAAAAAACTGATTTCTTGTAGGATTTAGGATTTTTAGCTCCTCTGGGCTGCATCCCTGGTTAATGTGAGAAAGAGAAGCTGTCCCTAATCATGTACCAGAGCAGTGGGAGACCCATTTGCAGGGCTCACTGTCTAAAACTCGAAGGAGATTTGAATCCCCTGGTGGTCTGTGGGATGCAGGATCGTGGGAGGGGGCTGCACGGCAGGGGGAGCGCTGTCAGTGCGAGGTCATGGAGGAGACGTGGTGGCCCCGCTGGCCTGGTCTGGCAGGAGGAGCCTCAGCGACCTTCCCGGCCTCCTAGAGCACTGTTGGTGCTGCTAAGAGGGTCTTGCTGGCCTGGGAGGGAGAGGAGTTTGTGTGGATGAGGCCTGGCGCACATGTGTGTTGTTATGGCAAGCTTAGAGGTTTTGGCTTCTGCTACACTGAAATTGAAGGTAAAATCTTTTTGCTCCCCTTCTCATGTGCGCCTTGCTGCTAACCACAACGCTGTGCTCTTTCTGACCCAGTGCAATGAGTAAGTAAGGCCACGTGGGTGGGCTTTACGTTAAGTGTAGGCTTTTCTGGCAGGCGCCGGGCCGAGACGTGACCTCTGCTGTCCCCAGCTACGTCTGTGGCTTTTCTGAAACTAGGGGCTGTTGTGGGAAAATCAGGAAGAAGTTCTCTCTTCTGGGGGATAACTTTCACGTTGTGAAATGCTTTCCAAAAGGTGTTTTCAGGCTAGTCACGTAAAGAAGGGTGCGTCGTTTTGTAGTTCTCTGAGGTTTTCACTGCTTTTCTGTAGCTGATGCTGCCTTTTCCTCTGAAATCTACTGAAACCTTCTGTAAATGAAACTGCTCAAATAACAAGCAATCTGCTGCGAGCTGTAGCCGAGGTGATTTGGCTGTAAATATTTTAAAGGATTCTTTTTGCATTTGCTTTTCCAGGGCAGCTTCCATGGCCTGTGACGAATTCACTGGTCTCTCGGACATCTTCACACGCCAGAACTCTGCCAGTGGTGCTTCCCTAGACTTCGAACCCGACGCTGACTACAGGTTTGTGGAGAGCTTGGAGGAGCGCTACAAGTGTGCCCACTGCCGCCTGGTCCTGCACAACCCGCACCAGACGGGATGTGGCCACCGGTTTTGCCAGCAGTGCATCCTTTCCCTGAGGTTAGTACAAGTTCTTTCTGTGTTTGCAAGCTCACTTTCCTCCCTGGATTAAAAAGAAGCTGGCACCTTCTATAAATCAACTGCAGATGCCGAAATAATAGCAATGAGCTGGTTAAAAAGAGTGGGAGTCAATGGAAAGACTGTTGAACTTGGTCACTCCATTCTCAGTGCTCTAAAGATACCTCTGTAAACCTCACCTGGTGAGGGCAAGCAATATGGGATCATTTTGGCCAGTGCTTGGAATTTTTATGTGTATAAAGTCAGCATAAGGAAAATTGTGATGTATACTTAAGCACATTTGTGTGAGGTGCTTTCTAGCATACAAAGGCACTCTATCTATCACTGCGCTGTTCAGGTGAGTTTGTTGCATTAACCTCTGGTGTTTCTTGTACCAGTGGTTAGATCAAAGCTGTCTGCTTTGGTATAATTTCTTTGCTTTTAGTGGAGTTACAAAACACTATTTATATTATCTGATACCACAATGAGATCATAAGGTTGCTGGCATCCATCTGCTTGGGATTTATCTGCCCATGAAATGCGTTTACACATTGCACAAACCTGTCTGGAAATTTGTGATGTGTCGTTTGGTGCATCTGCAGTAGAATTTGGCTCAGGAGAGCTACAGAGAAGCTTAATTATGTAGATGACTTTCACACTTTACCTTTTACATATTTTAGATGCTTCATGTTAGTCACTCCATCTTTCAGGGTTGCCTCCCCATGGACAGTGCCTCAGTAAGCGTTTCCTCGTACTCACTGTAGGACTTCAGGGAGCTTTTTGAGACAGGAACCATCTGAACCGATGTTGCTGTCGTAGCCAGGAACGTGCGGCTTGCGCCAGACAAAGCCGTCTGAATGCAGACTGGGAGATCGCTCCACATCTGACATTTGGTAGCAACAGATGGCCAGAGAGTGACAAAGTCCTCTTAATTAAAAAACATCTTATTAGCACTTGTAGCACAAACTCTGCTTTCTGTTATGCTGTTGCAGCTTAATGTCCTCTTAGTGCTATGGGCAGGATTTGGCAATGTGTTTTTGAAGCTCGGTTTGGTTCTTAGTGCATCCCACGTGAGTGGGATATAGACAAGGCACATTCTATCCAAGATTTATTTTTACGTAACTTTCAGGTCGATTCATAAAGGAAAATACCACTGTGACATGAGAACAACATGTAGCATTTATTTTAGTGTAACATTGCTGACGTAAATTAACTTGTTATAAAAGTGACTAAAATGTAGGAAACTGAGGAATTTTCTGCCTGAATCAAGAGGTGGTGGCATTATTCTTCCTGTTTGTACCTACAGGTTCTTGTGCTTGTTATGAATAGGCTGCATAAGGATTATCTGAAGAAAGAACACTGTGTATGGAAAATATTCAGATTATCTAGAGGCTTTGCACAGAACTGTTTTCAGGTGTGCAGAAATAGGATTGTAATATATTTTCTCATATTGCCTCCCTGAAGCTCTCATGCTATATGCTTTTTTTCCCTCGCTATTATCTGTATTCAGGGTTTTGTATTTCTCACCTTGATTTTTCACATAGGAGGGCTGCTCTCACTTGTATTCTACGTGTCTGGTACTTATGCAGATGCCCAAATACATGTCTTGTGAACACTGAAGGGATGCCTGACTTAGCATTCTGTTCTGTAACTTTTGAGTTCACAGGATGTTTTTCGATCAGGTGTATATTTCTTGGATAACGGAACAAACAAGAATGTGTATGATTTCTCGAGCCATGTATCACTGTGGTATAAAGCATTCGTTGACCTCTCTAAGAAACATGTGTCAATAGATCCTGAAATAACAGATACTTAATTTCAGTCTGCAAGGCATTACTGACCAATTTAAAAAGCTTTTTAAAGAAAGTCCTCCCACTTGCACCTTGCAATACTGAAATTGAACCAAATGCATTTTGCGGATTTTCTCTCTTAACACTGAAGTGTCTGCTGCTGATTCCCACAGAGCCAGGTGGTAGCATGGCCCAATTTTGTAAAAGAAGTCAGCTGCTCTGGGAATTAACATGACTCTTCTTTTGATCTAGAGAACTGAATGCAGTACCCACCTGTCCTGTTGACAAAGAAACAATAAAAATGCATGAGGTAAGTGGCTCTAGTTGCAGCTGCTTCAGCAGTCAATATCCACTAGAAAAAAAAAAAGTAAGAAAAGAAAAATGTTCTTATCAAGAAAGCTAAGAAAAGATAGATCTTAGTCTCTTAGTCCTCAGGGGCAAAGCAGCTTTTGTCCCTTAAACAATGTTAAGGGAAATAGTGTGCAAGGATGCATAGCTAAAGCTTTATTTTTATATCCTGTGTCATTTTAATCCTCTGTATTTTCCTGTAGAGTGGCCAAGAGTTTCATGCAGTTTTAAATCTTCTCTAGTGTTTAATGTTTCTTTTAGTGGAGAGTTTGTTTACTTACTACTTAATCCCCCATCTTGCCGGGGGATCTTGTTTATTTGCCTTTGCCGTTGACCAGGCTTTAATTTGCTGCTTTAGCTCTTTTCGATACACCTCATTAGCCTTGCAGACTTAATTCAATTTCTGGTAACTTTTTGAAGTAAAAGACAAGTTTATGCTTCTTATTTTGTAAGCTACAGATTTTTTTTGAATGGATTAAACGTCCTTAAAAGTACATTACCTACTTGATCCTGCCAGGATATATTTTCTGGTGAAATTTAATCTCCTTCTTTCTCTACTCATGATAGGAAATTGTAGTCTAAATGTTTACGAGGTTGCTGTTTTTCGCTCGCTGTCTCCTAGCCTGTGCAAATTTTGAGTAATGCAGCAGTGAACAGCTTTATAATGCTCCTCGTAGGAATAGAAAATAAACATAAATATTTTTGCTTATATTTTTAGTATACATTTTCAAGGAGAATTATCAAGAACCATGCCTATGGTTAAGGAATCCTCACATTTGTCTTTAAAAGATTTCTTGTGATGTTTTGCTGCCTTTTTATGTAACATCTTAGATAACCTCATATGAAGACTAACTTTCTTTACAGGTATTCAAAGACAACTGCTGTAAAAGAGAAGTTCTTAACTTGCAAGTGTTTTGCAAAAATATTCCTGATTGCAACTCAAAAGTAATTCTGGGACGATATCAGGTTAGTTCACTTCATCAAATTCAGAGGCCTTTGATTTGCGTACAAACTCTGATGTGTGCTTTAAGGTCAGCTTCAGGAATTGTCTTCAGAGTTATTGTAGCAATGTGGTTTAAGTGTCTAGATCACAACTTACCCTGTCTGTATGTAAGAAACAAATGTCCATAGAAAATATCATAGCTGTAAGTTTGTTCCAGCGTTACCTTAAAATATTTAAGATCTCCTTCTCTGGAGATCTTCAAAACCCGCTTGGATGCAGTCCTGTGCCACGTGCTCTAGGTGACCCTGCGTGTACAGGGGGGTTGGACTAGATGACCTCTAGAGGTCCCTTCCAACCTTAAGCATTCTATGATTCTATTTAACAAGAACCGTTTGCCTTTATCTCGCTGTGGTGCATCTGTCTTTTTTTTGAGTTCAGGAGAGTCTTAACAGGTAAGATGCTGGATGTTCCAGCACACTGATGCTCAGCCTGGTGTCATGGCCACACTCTCAGCAGGGCTTCTGAGCCCGGCGCTGTCGCAGCTCTGTGGCCCAGCGGGGTCTGATGGGCGAGCTTGGAGGTGGCCTGTGGCTACCACACACAGCTCGTCTGCACCTGCACACCTGGGGTGGAGGCTTCTTGAACACTCACAGCTGCTTGCCGAGAGGAATCAGACATTTTGGCTTTTTCTCGTGTGTAAATTGAGTAAAAACGGGAAATTAAAGAAAGGGCTGTTCAAGTTTGCAGCTCATCTGTTTACTCTGCTTTTGAGGCAGTGCTGAGGAAGAATGTATAGGGTTTGTTACCAAACTGCCAAATGCTTTATGTGTGTGCTAGACCAGTGAAGATGTTGTGAACCACATCCTATTCTGGTATTCATTCCTCTGCTGTATTAATTTTGGGAAATTAAAGAAAGGGCTGTTCACGTTTGCAGCTCATCTGTTTACTCCGCTTTTGAGGCAATGCTGAGGAAGAATGTATAGGTTTGTTACCAAACTGCCAAATGCTCTATGTGTGTGCTAGGCCAGTGAAGATGTTGTGAACCACATCCTATTCTGGTATTCATTCCTCTGCTGTATTAATTTACCTTTCCATGTTGCAGGAGCATCTTCAGCAGTGTCTGTTTGAGAGTGTGCAGTGCATGAATGATGGATGTTGCGATCAAATTCTTCGGAAAGATTTGAAAGATCACTTGAGTCAGCACTGTAAATTTCGAGAAGAAATGTGTCAGTACTGTAATACATATGTGGTCTTAATCAACATGAAGGTAAGGTCATAAAACATTCCCTGGGAATCTATAGCACACGTCTGCTTCCTTAATGTTGCAGACTGAAAAGTTTCCAGCATTACAATGAGGCTTTACAAATTGTGGAACAGCATTTGGCCAAGAACACGAAGGAGAAAACATAATAAATGTGTAAAATAAATAATGCCAGTTGCTGTAGCTCTCTTATGAACAGCAATCTGGTATGGGGTTTGCACTTGCATTTTTGTGATTATTTCTGCATGCCAGAAATTAATAGCTTCCTTTATAAATGCTACTTTATAAAAATAGAGAATTGTATGTTGTAGGCAAGAATAAATTAATATGTAAATTTTGTATATTTGCCTATTCTTGCCTATAATATGCTGTGTGTCATCTTTGATATGGTGTTCTTTGAGTCCGATACAAATTGTTTCTTTTTTTGTTTCTTTTTTTCTCCGCAGAATCATGAAAAAAATGATTGTCCTGACTATCCTGTGCCTTGTCTCCAAAACTGCTCACAGATAATCCTAAAAAAGGAGGTACTGTAATTTTTTTCATGTACAGTAATTCAGCACACTGCACTCTTCTATGAAATTTGAAACTCATGTCATAGACTACATTGAACTATGCCAATAAAATAGGTTTACTCATTTGCTCTAAGTATTTTCTTTGTTTTGCCCTAAAGGTGATATGTCTCATTTTGTGAATGAGGTGTTAACGTCATTGCAAAACATTGGTGTTGCAGTGCCAGTGGATCATCTGGCTTCCTTATTGACTCTGACCACTCGTCTTCCCCTTTACATGATCGGTGGTCTATTGACATGGGCCTTTATTCATCATTTATACAGATATTTAGATTTTACCAGCACAGTAAGTTACTTAGCATTTATTTCATTAGCACTTTCTCTGTTAATATATGCAGATTGAAACCCATCAGACAGTGTGTCCAGAGACCGAAGTGGACTGTCCCTACAAACAATATGGTTGTCTTGTAAAGGTATTGTTCTATACATCTTTATTTGCACTGGGATTGAAATTTGTCTACCAAATCAGTCAAAGTATTTACTAAAATAGCTGTTTCTGTTCTCTCACAACTCTTTGTAGTATTGACTAAGATAGCAATAAAGTCAGGATTGCCATTCCCTCACTTTCAAAGCACAGAGGAGACATTTTAAACGCTTGCATCAGTAACATTTTTTTTTTACTAAACATTTTCAAAATGTCTGTCTAACATGTAACTAGATTCTTTCACTTTCTCCTCTGCCTCACTAAGGTTAAAAGAGGAAAACTTGCAGAGCATGAAAATAGTGCCCTGAGGGAACACATGCTGCAGATTTTGGACAAGAACTCCAGGTTGGAAGAACAGGCAAGTCATATTGTGGAACATTCTTCAACAGTTTTTGGCTCGTTATAGGATGCTATGAGATTCTGCATTTGTTGTGTGTTCCAGCTCAATTATATTTTAAAAGACTACTACAAAAGTCAGAATAAGCCCTTCCAGTAAGTCAGGTAGACTTGTATTCTGCACCCAGCGTGGTGGGAACCTCACTGCCACCGCTCCCCCCGTTTACTTCCTGCCTTTGCTTACGGTGGGCACGAGGTGTGCAATGGAGTGTTCAAGTTTCAGTGCTTGCCCAGACTGCAGGAACACACTGAAGAGGAGCCTCTTAAATGCCCGTGCCTCATGCTCTGCAGAGGCAGCACCAGCTGCTGGCTGTGTCCTCTAGCAGAGCAGCTTGCAAGCGCTTCTCCGTGTGTGACCATTGCTGCTGCTTCCAACAGGTGACATGGGGCCCAATCCTACCAAAGCGAATGCATCCAGCTGATGGTCGACTTTCTCTTTTGCTTGTTCATTTAAAACATATGTACCCCAAAACACAACAATTCGGTGATCTGCTGCACTTCTGGATTCAGTTCTCCTCGCTTATTCATGTCTTACTTGTTAGAGCCCAGTGCAACAATATGTATGTTCTATATCTATACACACACAGAAACATACATGCATGTAGGTTTATATTATCACAGAGCAGAGTCTTGATGGAAATGGAAGGTATGAGTCTCTTAGTACCTATTGCTACACAGAGCTGTTAAGAAATACGGGCTTATGGTTTTCTTGGGAAATACCATCTTTTTTTTTGACCTGGAAATTCTGCCCAGTTAAAGTTCAAGATTTTTGCAGTTCTGCTGGGCTGACTTGACATCTGTCGCCTGGTTCTGCTCCAGTGAGCACCAGCTCCAAAGAGTGGAGACGTCGATGCCCGGCAATCACAGACAGCCCCAGTGCTCACAAACACACGCTCTGCAAGGTGGTTCCCAGGAGGTGCCAGCCCTGTTGTGTATGTGCTGCTGAGCTGAAATCGTAGAATCACAGAATGCTTAAGGTTGGAAGGGACCTCTAGAGATCATCTAGTCCAACCCTCCTGCTCCAGCAGGGACACCTAGAGCACGTGGCACAGGGCGGCATCCAGGCGGGTATGGAAGATCTCCAGAGAAGGAGATTCCACAGCCTCTCTGGGCAGCCTGTTCCAGGGCTCTGTCAAATTGCATATGTGCTGGAGGTGCCAAAGGTCCCCCATGCACTGCGAGTCCTGAATGTGCACTTTCTCCATGGGGGCACAGGAGACAGCTTGTGGGAGAGTGGCACATGCCATGGGCTTGCACATTTTTGTCTGGGAGATCCCCAACATAAACACTGTAAATGTTCAGGAATAACTGTTGAGCTCTACGCTCATCTCCTGCCTAAATCCAGCTGCACATCATGGTGCAGAGAAGCTTTTGGAAATCTTGCTTTGCAACCTAGGCAAAAATAAGATTTAAGAGGCAGAGCTCAATACTTACTAGTACTTATCCATTAATTTTGAATGAATTAGTGCATATGTAGTTAAGTTAGAGTATTTGCATGCCAAACCTCTCCATTTTTTCCTATGTAATCGCATACATTTTCATGTGATTGTTGGTATTTTTGTATTCCTTCATTCTTCTACTCTGCTTTTTTTCCCATCTGTAGATATCTGACTTGTGTAAGAGTCTGGAATGTAAAGAGATTAAAATCCAACAGCTTGCAGAGGCAGTTAAAAAGTGTGAGAAGGAATTCAGGCAGTTTACACAGCTGTTTGGAAAAAACAGCAATTTGATGGTAAGCACCCAGGTAAGACATTTATTTTACCTTTCTGTCCCTTTGCTTTCTTGCATCCTGGAATGTGTTTATCCAGTGATGATTGTCATCATCAGGGTGGTAACAAATGCTGTCTCCCAAACACTTCCTGAGCTTTTCTTGCATTTCTACAATACAATATCATATTTTCATTTTATCTAATAAAGAAGTTTTGGGTATCTGGCTTGGTCAAAAAGCACTGAATAAATTCTGCATGGACAGATCCCCACGGCAATTATGGGGGTGTAAATTTGAACAACTGTTTGAATGAAGCAGTGCAGTGTGAATTGGACTGAATCAGGGATGGATTCTCAGTGAGTAGATGCAGAATTAAACATGAGGGAGCATTTGGAAATGTCCCAAAGGCAACACATGTAATATTTTTGCATATAGCATGTAGTGAATAGTGCTGACTTGTTAAAGATTCTTTATCTTATTTCAAATGATGTGATTGATTTTGAATGTCTTTGGCTCTGCTTCTCACTCTCTTCCAATGGCATTAATTGGGAAGGCTCTTGCCAGTCACCTGGATAAATCTGCACGCCTGGAGTCACAAGTAAAACAGTTAATACAAATGGCAAACCAGCAACAAAGTAAATTAGACTTGCGACCCCTGTTTGATACAATTGAAAATGTAAAGCAGAAGATTGCCCTTATGGAGACATATGATCAGCGTTTAGGTATGTTGGGAAACTTCTGTTTCTTTCCTGCATGGGTTTAGAATTTTTGTTGACTCGGTGGTGGTGGTGGTTTTAGAGGTCAGTTAACTGCAGCTATTAGTTGGTCATGGCTTTCCTCTTTGTGATTTCTAAGACCAATTGCTGGTAGTGAATACTCCATCCTCCCACCTTCCTTATGCACCAGTGTTACTATAGGCATCAGCTTCTGAATTCCTGTGGCACTGCAGGGTCAGGGAGCTGGGGTTGGTGAGGCTGGTGGATTTTGATGGTAGTACCATGTGTGCAATATGAACCTTGTAAATTAATGTCAGCCTTGTATGTTAAAACAGCATGTTTGTGTAACATGTATGGACTTTAAGCAGAACTCTTTGATTGTTTCAGTGCTGTCAGTAGCCTTGCTACTGGGGTTGCTTTTGTCTTCCCTTCTTCATGACAAACTGCTTTCATTGCAGCCTGTCCTTGTCACTCCTGCTTCCCAAGCTCCTTCTGCAAAAGAGTGTAGTGAAAAATAAAGGCTAAGGTTTGGAAGAGAAATCAACAGAATCAGAGAGGAAACATACTTGTATTCCAGTGGCTATAAGTTATCTCCTACCCCTGCCCCTAAGAAGACTCACTGTAGATCAAAGAGTATCTTGTGGGAGAGGGGAAAAAACAGTCAGGTCAGATGTGCCTTTCAGCATCAGTTTTACCAGAGCAGGCCTCAAATATGAATCTTTAAAACAGAAAAAGCAGCTGTTGTAGGCCAGCTTCTATCCTTTGCTGCTGTAGGTCCAGCAAGGCTATGATCTTGCACTTCCCTGGCATTACTTTAGGTTCTGTCTTTACGTGAGTCAGCCCCAGGCGTAATGCTGATTTTCACATGGTTCCTGTTACAGCCTGACAATGTTGGCGTTTTCCAGGGTGGCACTGTCATTAGTTACGAGAACATGAATATATGCAGCAAATGAGTCTAAGTAAAGAGTTTGTATAACCTTGGAATCTAGATGCTAATTTTGCTTCTCAGGGCTGTCTCTAGGGTGGGAGTAACCAATAGTTAAATGGAGCTTTTTGAGAGTCATTTAAGAGTTCATCATTTAAGAGTTCATCTTAAACTCAGGCATAACATTGGCAAAAGGTTGAGTGGACTGGCCTGTGCTACAAAGTTAGTTGTCTCTGAGAAGCTCTTGAATGTAATGCCACAGTTTAGTCTTCAGCTTGGGTCTTGAGTAATTAAGTACTGTCGACTCAAGTCTGGTTGCTCTTTGTTTCCAGTGTTCTGATGGTCTTATTTAACTGAACGTTTCCTCTTTTTTTTTTTTTTTTTTTCCAGTTGTTTTGGAAGGTCAGTCCAACAAGCATGATCTCCAGATCAATATTCACAAAGCACAGCTCAACAAAAATGAAGAACGATTTAAGCTTTTGGAGGGCACGTGTTACAATGGAAAATTAATCTGGAAAATCATGGACTACAAGATAAAGAAAAAAGAAGCAGTGGAAGGCCGTGTCCTCTCTATATTCAGCCAGCCTTTTTACACCAGCCGCTGTGGGTACAGGTTATGTGCAAGAGCTTATCTGAATGGGGATGGCTCTGGAAAGGGAACACACGTCTCGCTCTACTTCGTTGTGATGAGAGGGGAGTTTGACTCACTGCTGCCATGGCCTTTCAAGCAAAAAGTTACACTTATGCTTTTGGACCAAAGCGGGAAAAAAAATCACATTGTGGAAGTCTTCAGAGCCGACCCCAACAGCAGCAGTTTCAAAAGGCCAGATGGAGAAATGAATATTGCCTCGGGATGTCCACGCTTTGTGCCACACACCGTTCTAGAGAACACAAAAAATACCTACATCAAAGATGACACTCTCTTCTTGAAAGTAGTTGTGGATTTAACCGATCTGGAGGAGCTATGAAAAAAAATCCTTGATAATGGGACTGCTTGAACTATTAAGAAATGCATTTTTGGTGACCACCGGCCATGCAATAGTGAATTGCCACTAGTTAAGCTATCGATAACATTATCGAGGCTTTTGGACTGCATAACAGCTAATGAATTGCCAAAGTGTCAACCTTTTGTTTTTTAACTTTCAAGACTGCGGTTTTAAGGCAGCTCTAAGTCCAGTTTGATGTTGTGAACATACATTCACACCTGTGTTTTAGCACTGCTCGGTACATGTTGGGGGTGAGTGTTTGGCTCCTATCAGAGACTGGCGTTTTGGGATGAATGTCCTGCAGTTAACCTTGTGGAGCCCAAGCAGGCCTGTGGGCTCCCGTTATTTACACAGAATTATCATGTCCATCATCGCAGTCGGCATTTCACTGGTCTGAAATGGAAACACTTCAGTACTAGCACATTTGAATTAACATGTCATGATCCTCCAACTGCCTGAGGTTTTGAAGCAGAGAGAATAGCTTCAGCCAGGCAGGGGAAATCTTAGCCAGGGATCCTGCATTCCCTTTTCTTCTTTTCCAGAAAGTCCAGAGGAAGGTGCCAGTGCCTCTTGCTTTTCTAACCTTGATGTTTCAGCTGCAGTGAGTACCCCAGCTTACAATAGCCTTGTTAATGTCCTCTCTGTACCTGCCTAGTGCCTTGGGACTGAGCCCAGTTGGTGATAAGCCTCCACAGTCCCCCCCTTGAAGTCAGAGGACTTATCACCTCTCAGGATATGGCCATAAGTGGGGTGCTCAGGCAGCCCGACCGCTCTCTGCTGCACTGCTGGAAAAAAGGGCGCAGAGCTCCAGTATTTCTGCTTGCACACCCATGCAAAATAGATCTTTTCTGGCCTCCCAGCTCTGCAGAAGGCTTTGGATATTTGCTAGTGGAAAGTCCTATGTTACATGCACTGTTCTCCTCTGCTAGAAATTTGAATGTTTCAGGGTGGAGGGAGAAAATGGATTAGGAGATGAAGGCAGTTCTTGCCTTTTAACAAATACTAGATCTTCACTACCAGCAAGATAGCTACTGAGTAACTATGGAGAACTGAGAAGTACTTCTGAAGATCTTAATTTTTATCCCCAGCTCCTTACCTGTTGCACCAGCGTGCATGCATTGTACGTGGTTACTGGAGACAGAATAAAAACACTAAGCTCAGGCACTGAGAAACAAGTAACAAAGAATACATGTGCCTTTCAAAAGCCTATAGGGACCTGTGAGAGGGATCGATTTTTGCACAATCAATCATTTTGTTGCTATAAGTGACAGAATTCTGTGTCTCTTGCGTCATCTCTGACAGAGCAGGTATTGAAACATTAAACATAACCCATTGCTCCTGCAGTCCAGTGGCAGAGAAACCTGGGATTTTTCAAAAGACAGTAAGAAATTAAGCTGGATTTATAATAAGAGTAAACTAGGCAGGCTAAAAAAACCAAAATGGGGCACCGAATGCAAGGAATAAGGTAGAAAATTCAAGAAGAAGGCAAATGTGGCAAAATCTAAAATGTCCAGGCTTTCTGTGCAGATTGTCAATATCACCGAAAATAGTGCAATTTCAAGACTGATGATAAGGTGAAGGCGAAATACCCTATTTTACATTGAAAATCTCATTACTAGGCATTTATTTCCGCATATGTTTTCTAGGACATTATTGAGACACACATATTTTCAAAACGAGGTTGGAGAGGGTGAAGTTATCCATACTATCCATCCATACTTTCTAGTGAGTTAGCACATCTCAGCACTGCTTCAATTTATATGCTACTTATGTCCTTTTTGCTGTACAGCGTCAGTGTGTACCGGACCACTGTAGGGGTTTTTGGTGTTCCCAGGGACAGATGGCAAAGGCCAAATTCTATTCTCTTGTACAGTCCATATTGACTTTAACAGCCATGTTGCATCTGTACAATGGAGAGAATTAGACCTGATGTCCACAGTACTTTGTTGCATAAAGAATAAGCTTGTTGTGAAATGGTTTGGCATGGTAGGACATAAATTATGAGTCACTGATGTGGGCTTCCTGTTGATTATTACTTTAATATTAGCCATGTAACTGTCCAAGTAGCACAACTCGAATAATAACCACTAATCTGGTTGGAAACGTATTACCTGTATTTGCTAGAAATCTTTAGTATGTTAAGTGTAAAATACAGAAAGTGATAAAGAACTTGGGAGAGAACCAAGGCAAGAGGGATACGGCATAGCCTGTACATAAGGGAACTGCTAACCCTCTCTGCCCCCACCACCCCAAATGTAAAATGGGGGTAATAATAATACTTGCAGAAGTGTTAAGAGTCTTTAAGTGTTTTGTGAAGAATTTTGAGCATGACAGGAGCTAAGTATTATTAAAACTCCATTTCTAAGTGTTAGAATAGGTGATGGCGTCGTGACGTTGGTAAGTGTTTAGTGTGTCCTTGGATGGATTTTGGAAGCACGTTAATTTTAACCAGTCCATACAGCAATCTCTCTTCCTCTACTGATCTGCTGCCTTTTTGGTTGGTTGATTGTTTTTTGTTTTTTTTTCTCTCTGTGGATATTTCTTTTGAAATTTGGAAGCACAAATGACTCATTCCGGGCAATGGAAACATGCCTTTATACTGCCTGTTTTATAAGGAATCAGTTGAGAAAATCAATTTTGTAAAGCAAACTTTATTTAAATGTGTTCATTTTGTTAAAACAGTTGAGAGTTCTATGTTTAGTTTTTCAAGGTTTTTTACTACTGTAAACTGGATTTTAAATAGCTTCCCATTATTAATAAAGAAAAAAAATGTCGTATTGCATGAATGTTACAGCAGAAGCTAAATGGTGCATGAAAAAAACACCAACAAACTTTTCAATGACCTTGTATTTGGGTAGGTAACAGCTCGCGGAGCCCAGTGTCCCTACATCAGCGCGCGACAGGTTTTTGATGTATTTATTGACAGATTTGTAGCTGTTTGTGCCTCTTTCCCCGCTTTTCTCGCCCCGCGCCCTGAGTGTCGCAATACGCAACGTGGCCCCCGAGGGCAGCGGCGCCCCCCGCCCGCTCGCGGCTCCCGGC